AAACCACACATATTTAAACACACATGTAGATACAACACAGAGGACAGAATACACAGAGTTACACAGTACCCAGGACTTGAACATGCTTAAACAAGACGCTTTAACAAGGTGCTGTTAACATGCCCAGGCTGAACCTCCAGCCCAGACCTCCCCTCAGCGCTGCTTTGCTACCACACTGTGTGTGTGATTAGCAAGGCTGCAAGCAGTATCTGACTTCCTAGCCCACTCTTGTCTTGCACCTTTGGCCACAGCTTTCTCTCCCAGCCATAAGGTGATACAAGCTCTCCCTGAGCTTTTGATAAGGTGAGGATAATAAAACACAAACATGATGGCAAGCCAAGTGGGATGACTAGAAACATCAAAAGAGATGCAGATGAAAGCTGTATGTGGATAATTCTGCAGGCATTTGAAGACAAAATCAGGGCAAGATTTCTGCTAGCAATACAACAGTATTTGTTCTCCAGATTTCATTAATGCCAGTCCTTATTCAAACTTCCCTTCTGCAAACACTGCAGGAGGCTTCCTGACAGGGCTCCCTAGCCTTGTGCCTCCTGTGGACTTTGCCCACAGGGAAACCAACTGGAACCACACCAGAATTCTCACAGGGGTCCAAGGTAGTGTGGGCTGCTGGGGTTGAGCTTGCTGGCATCGCTGGTGGTGTTCGAGCAATGCTGGCTCCACACTGCCAGGTGGGGTGTGACAGCACCGTGGGGGTGCATGGGAAGGATTCCATACCACAGGAGAGGGGAAGGTTTGAGCTGACCTGAGGGAGACTTAGGCGAGGACAAAGGACCCTGCAGGGAGAGAAAGGCTGATCTTATAAAAGGTCAGTGCTCAATGCCCTGAGCACAAATTAGAGTGACTTCCCAGGGCTCTAGAAGCTGCATGTCTATAGCAAAACTTTGCCTCTTGAGTAGTTTGCCTGTACACTGTGAAAGCTTAATCTGAAAACAGGAATCCTGACTAAGCAGGTATGGAGTTGCTTGCAAGACTTTTTTTTATGCCTGAAAAGCACTGTCAGCGTATTCCTGTTTTGAATTAATTGCTTTTCTAATACCTTATTGTTTTATGACAGCTGAAACTGCCTGACTGGATGCCAACACATATGAACTACTAAATGGTTCTTAGATCTTATTTTACGGTCCATCCTCTGTTTTGAAATAAACTGCCTACTAAACAAAATAATTTTCCTTGTGTCTCCAATGACATATATGTGGATTTTGAGAAAGGGAAGTGGGCATGGGGGGAAATTCAGAAATTGCAAAAGGAAAAATGTTAGGGTTATTTCTTCTTTCTATAATATAAGCAGCAATAGATCTACTGAAATTTCCTTCCTCTCCTGTCTGGGTTTGCCTGCATGTGGCTGGTATATACAAAGCTCCAGAGTGTCACTGTTGATGACACTGCATGTTACATCCCCTCTTCTTCATGTGCTTCTCACATCCAGACGGGACAGCTGAGGTAGTGGAATGCTTTTGGGAGGCCCATGAGCTATGCCGCCAGCTGGTGAGCCCATGTAAACTAGCTCTTAGTCTTGCACTGTACCTCAAGCCTTGCATCCCTCCTGTGCCTGCAGCTCCCCACAGCTCCTGGTGCACTTCTCCTGCGGCTCTGAGCACACAGGCTGAAAACGTGCTGTTTTGGAAACAGATTTCTAAAGGTGACAAAAGTTAGGTTCTGCATTTGGCATCATCCACGGCTTCCAGCAACGTTTTGTCAAGAGTAATCACCCTTGGCTTCCAAACTTTGCTGTCAAATTGGATCTCAGCTCTTACTCCACAGAAATAATTTTTCTTGTGTACATGCTCACTTGAGTGCTTGCTGCTGTGTTTGTGTGGTTGATGCAAGGTCACTCGTGGTACAGAAAAATTTGCTTTCAATGCCTGGGTCATGGTGTCAAATTGGTTTTATTTCAACTGTCTTGAGTACACAAAGCTGGGCCAGAGCAGAGCCCTCTGGGCCTCCTGTGCTGAACACCAGGCACAACAGCCCGCACCCCTCGCAGCCAGGTGCCTTGGCCTCTTGTCTCAGGTCCTAATTCCTTACCCTTTTTACATGTGATTGGCCATGGTGCTCTTTCCCGACTTGGAGAAAGAGAAATTTGAGCAATTGCATTTACTGCTTGGCATCTGCCATCCTCCCACAGAAGGGAGATCTCTATTAGTATCCTTGTGCTAAAATGTTAACAAATAAATAAATAAATAACGCATTTTGGCTGCAGGAATAAAAAAAAAAGGAGGTGTGCCTAAAAAAGCATTTCCAATGATACTAAGTAAATGCAAGCAGGGATGTGAGTCTCACAGTTGTTTTGCAATGTTTGCTAGTGCAGCAGTTGACACCAGCCTGCTGGCTGGAAGTGTGGGCTGGGGCTGGGACTGGTGCAGCCTCAAGGCTTCCCGGTCTCCAAAGTTCTCACTTTGAAGATTAAAATGAGGAGCTTAATTACCACAGGCCAGGAAATGGCCTTCAGCCTTCCACATTCCCCCTTCTGCTATGTCTGTTTTACCTCTCCTGCCATGTCCATTTGACCTCTTCCTACTATTTCTACCTGATGGGTTTTTGCTGAGGAGGTTTTTTTTTTCCCCATCTTGATTTAAGAAAAAAGGTGAATGTTTAAGGAAGGCTTAATTAAGCTCCCTATTCAGCTGTTTGAGCCATTTAAATATGAAAATACTTTCCCCACGTGTTCTCCCAGTTCAGCAGCTGAGTTTGTAACTCCTTCAGCCACGCTGCAGGCCCCCAGGATGCCTCAGCCCTGAAGCAGGTACGCAGCCAGACCCCGGCTGTGTTTTTCTTCTGGGCTTCCTGTTTTAAAGTCGTTGTAAGTCTTCTAAGGGCTGTCTGGCAGCAGCTTTGATTTCGCAAATAATTGCTTTTTGCCTCTAGGGTAGAGGCGACGTTAGGAAGGGGAGGATTAAAAAAATACATGTACCTCCCCGTCGGGGAATCGAACCCCGGTCTCCCGCGTGACAGGCGGGGATACTTACCACTATACTAACGAGGAGCTGTACTGGCATCGCCCCTCCGGCAGCCCCCAGATGGCGTCTCCCGCTCGCAGCCGGCCGCAGGGGCGGACCTGGCCATGGCGGCCAACCGCTCTGCCCCGCGCGCACCCCGCACCGCCCCGTCCCGCAATGCACCACGGGGGCCACAGTTCACAGAATCACAGAGCCGTCTAGGCTGGAAAGGGCACTGAAGATCATCCAGTCCAACCATTAACCTAACACTGACAGCTCCCAACTACACCAGATCCCTCAGTGCTATGTCGACCCCACTCTTAAACACCTCCAGGGATGGGGACTCCACCACTGCCCTGGGCAGCCCATTCCAACACTCAACAACCCATTCTGGAAAGAAATGCTTCCTAATGTCCAGTTTAAACCTTCCCTGGTACAACTTGAGGCCATTCCCTCTTGTCCTATCGCTTGTTACTTGGTTAAAGAGGCTCATCCCCAGCTCTCTGCAACCTCCTTTCAGGTAGCTGTAGAGGGCGATGAGGTCTCCCCTCAGCCTCCTCTTCTCCAGACTAAACACCCCCAGTTCCCTCAGCCGCTCCCCGTACGACCTGTGCTCCAGACCCTGCACCAGCTTCGTTGCCCTTCTCTGGACACGCTCGAGTCATTCAATGTCCTTTTTGTAGTGAGGGGCTCAAAACTGAACACAGGAATCGAGGGGCGGCCTCACCAGTGCCGAGTACAGGGGTCAGATCCCTTCCCTGTCCCTGCTGGCCACGCTATTGCTGACACAAGCCAGGATGCCATTGGCCTTCTTGGCCCCCTGGGCACACTGCTGGCTCCTGTTCAGCCGGCTGTCAATCAACACCCCCAGGTCCCTCTCTGACTGGCAGCTCTCCAGCCACTCCTCCCCAGGCCTGTAGCGCTGCTGGGGGTTGTTGTGGCCCAAGGGCAGCCCCCGGCATTTGGCCTTATTGAAACTCCTCCAGTTGGGCTCAGCCCATGGCTCCAGCCTGCCCAGGTCTCTCTGCAGAGCCTCCCTACCCTCGAGCAGATCAACACTCC